TCATCCCCCCGGGGGGTGATTTCTCACTCTCTCTCTCTCTTTCTGGGTGAGTTTATATGCTATGTAGAAAATTACAAAGGAAAAAAAAGGCCCTGCTTCTCATTGTTTCTGGGACTCAAGGCCACAGACTGTAGTGTAGCAAACTTTCCCAGATCTCCTCAGCGTGAAGGGGTGAGCCAGAGGAACCGCTGAACAGGTTTGGAAGTAGAACTTTAGGAGTCCTTCAGCCTCTCGGGACCTACTTTGATGCAAACCCCAAAATAAAACACTCACTACTGAAATGAGAAAAAAAAATTTTTTTTAATTGCCAGAGGGCAAGTACACTTGCCAGTGAGAGAGAGGGAGAAAGCGCCTTCTGATGGGGCATGATCATGCTGCAATCCCTTCTCTTCCGTTTCTCCACCCCGTCAGGATTTTGAACCTGTGTGCACATACAACCACTCGAGTCACTGGGGCTGGGATTCAAACCTCCATTACCCATGTGGGATATGGGTCCCTATGGATAGGCCTTAACCTCTGTGCTAAAAGGTGGCCCAAATTGTCCTTTTAAGGCATGTTTAATTGAGCCATTAACACCTAGAGTAGAACAGCCATTTCTCTCTCACGGCTTACTCACCGGTGTCATAACTGCCTCATAAAACACATCCAATTGTCTTTTATTCCTTAATTAACATCTTGTAAAGTTGACAATATGATTACAATTGAACCTATCCAGAAATAGATCTGTGCTTTTACCAGCACATAACATTGCTTCCTCACATGAATTTAAGGGAAAGTGTAGAGAGGAAGGGGGCTGCTGACTACATGATGAAAGGCAAAATTGTATTTCAGAAGCTCCTTTAAGCTTTTAAAGAAGAAATGATCAAAGGAAATGCCAATTAATGCTGTCAAAATGAAAAGGAATCTCAGCCCTATGAGTCTTCAATCCTAATTTTAAGGAGATTCCTCTTCCCAAGCATAAGACTAGCTGTGGAACAGACTATTAACTTTCTCAGATCATCTCATTTAATTCCAACAACAATCTACAAGGAAGATGATACTATCCCTGTTTGACAGATGAAGAGACTGAGATACAGAGAAGAAAACAACTTGCAGAAGGTCACATGGCTGATAAATTCCATGCCAGGTTTGTAAGCCTGGGTTTCTTGACTTGATAGCTGTGTTTTCACCGTTATACCATACTGCCTCTCTCTCTGCTATGTTTCTCAACTAGAGACCCAGAGATGCATTGTCAGGAACACTAAAATTCTATGAGAATTAGCACTTTAGTGTTACCACCTTTAAAAAATAATATTTATTTAATTTCATTTGTTATTATTTATTTATTTATCTGGGAGAGGTTTTTGCTATAGGGCACATGCGTTCACAAGAAAGACAGAGAGAGACAGACAAAACGCAAGAAATTAACCCCCAGGAGGGATGACCACACCACAATCCCTTCTCCTCCATTCTCTTCTCAGGATTTTGGGCACGATCGCACACATGCCAGGCATGAGTTTAAGCCACTGGGTCTGGGAGTCAAACTGCGGTTGACTATATGGGAGTTCAGTGACATAGCCATTATGGTAACTGCTAGCCCCTATTATTCTTAATTTGACCAGAGAGAGAGAGAGAGAGAGAGAGAGAGCAAAAAGGCAAGCCGCCAGGTCTGGTACTCGGACCACAATTTGCCATGTGGGAATCCATCTCCTTTATCTAACACGCCACCTGCTGGCCCCTGTTACTACCTGTCATCGTCTGTAAAAATGAACATAACCACATCAGGGTGATCACATTATAACTTGAGTATGGATCTTTGTTGAACTTCTATTTGTTTATGCAAATTCTCTCTATGTAGCCACAACCCTGGGGAAACAGGAAGTTTGTCATTTTCGTCATATGCATCTGAGAGGCTATTTTATAACGCAGTATCCCATGGGAGGAAGAAAATTTCTAAACATAGTTTATGTCCCTTTTTTAAACTTCTCTCTAGGCCTTTTTTCTTTTGTAATTGGCTGCCAGTTCTCAAAGGCTGCTTTGTTTTCTCCATTCTTTATATAATTACAATATAGGGAAAGTAGAAGCATGGGGTTCCACACCTTATAAATGTTATCCTTATTCATACAGTTATGAGGTTGCATAGATCATTTTTCTAAAAAAAACAAACAAGAAAAAAAAACTGACCTCTAATAAAAATAAGTCTTGGGACCAGCAGGTGGCATGGTGGTTAAGGCGCTGGACACTCCCACATGGCTGACCACGGTTCTAATCTCGGACCTGGTGACTTGCTTTCTCACTTTTCTCTCTCTCTGTCTTTCTCTGGTCAAATTAACGTAAAATGAATAAATAAATAAAATAAAGTAAAAATAATTCTTTAAAAAAATAAGTCTCTCTTCAACCTCCCTCTCCTAATTGCAGAGTCTATTGCCTTTCCAATGCTATTTTGGTTTTGTGTTTTTTATAATTTTCTAGAGGACTCGTGTGCTTGTGGGGGTTGGCATTCCTCATGGGGGATGGTCACACCACAATCCTTTCTCCTTCATCTCTCCCTCTTCAGGATTTTGGGCATGCATGTACATGTTTCTGGCATGTTTTCCAAGCCTATGGGTCTGGGGCTCAAACCATGCAGTGGCCTCAGCTTCCTTATGTCCCAGCCACTGGCCAGCCTCCTCAGTGTTCTGAGAGTGGGTGAGTAATGCAGGCTGGCTATGGTGAAGTGCAGTACAGATATTGCAGAAGATGCTGGATTTCATTTCATTGAGCAAAGTGATGTGTAAAATGAAAAGTCATGAACAAATGCAGACTTAGAGCAATTATGATAGGGTTTTCAAAAAGTTCATCCTGCTGCAATCCTTCCCCTAGCTTCCTAGCCAGCCAGTTTATGGGCCCTCACAGATGTGCCTGACATGTTCAGGTCAACCCAGGATCTGAACCTCGGCCTCTCACTTAACCCTAGTGTCATGCAGCATGCTCTGCCATTTATACCATGACCGGGCCTTAATGAACAATTTTACACTAGTTAGAATAACCAGTGGATAATTTTTCTTTATTTGTGAACTCATTTGTATCTTAGATCTAAAGTAACGTTTTTTACTATTTTTAAATTTTTCTAAAACCTCTGCTTTTATGCTAGGATTTATCATTTAAGTTTTCCACTTGATCTCTTCAATTGTATTATTAGAGTAAGCCACTAGATTTTGGGGGGGATGGGGAGGAGAGAGGTCATTGTTTTCACAAAAAAAGCAAAGTTTATATTTCCTTAGAGTTATTCATGTGATCCATAGAGAACAGAGATAAGGAGATAAGGAGATGCTAGGTAGCCACTCTGGCAAACTCAGTACCTAAGGGGTTTTTAAAAAATGTTTTCTTCCATGTCTTGGAAATATTAGACATTTATGTAGCTCAGTGACTATCAATTTAAAATAACCAAAAATTAGGAAATTAAATTTACATATGCCAAAGATTTCCTGAATGTTTCCAACTTTAATTGTTTAAGATTAACAAGTACTGTCTATAAGAACTTTAGCAACAATTGGTAGCTAAGGATCAGTTGAGGATGTCAAAATACACTAAGTGATTAAAATTTTCAGTATTCTAATACTGAAATCCCATGTTCCTTTTCTCACTTTTTCTTAAAGCAATACTCATAACAAAAAAAAACAATAGTTTGTCATTTTTCCTAAAAGTTCATAGGTCAAGAATCACGATTTTACATATTTAGGTTCAGAGCACTCAACAAAATCACACAGGCCCACATCTTGATTAATTCTAATCTAATCTTGTACTCCTGGATCAAGCCCCTTTCCCTTTACACCCTGGAACATCAGTCAAGCAAACTCAGGTTATTTTATCTTTTTTTTTAAAAATTTTTAAGTTGCCAGAGGTGCACGAGAGAACGAGAGATAACCAACACTGCAGTATTATTTTTTTCTCCGTCTCATCAGAATTTGGCAAACATGCACATGCACACAGATTGTTTTTCAAACCACTATGTTCAAGAACTCAAACTGTAGTTAGCAATGTGGGATCTGGCTTTCTTTGCCCAGGACTTAACTGCTGCACTATAGGGCTAGGCCAACTCAGGTTATTCTTAATGTGGTAAGAGTGGCAAGCAGTTCTGGAGCACAGAGCTACATGGAATTTATAGCAAGGATTCATTCTGAGTGATGTATTTACTTTCATTATGCCTATAAACACTGATTTTTTTCTTTTGAAGGATGTCATTACATGGCAAGGTTTCAAGGGACTTTTAAAAGAAGTGTAACAGCAATCAATTCTTAAATAAGCATTGCCTTATCACAACTAATTTTTGATATGGCTAATTCTAAGATTTTTAAAATCTTGTCTTCATTCTGTTTGTTGACAGAAATCATTTGGCATGATAAAACACATAGGAAGGCCAGGGAACGAATAATATTTTCTTGTATTTAAGAATGATTTGAGGGCCAACTGGTAGCTGCTGGTTGAGGTGGCTGGATACCACGTGGCCGACTGTGTGGTTCCAGTCCCCAACAGGCTGGGCTCCTGCATACGCGTCACCAAAATCCCAAGAGGAGAATGAACTGACTGTGGTGTGGCCATCCACCTTGGGGATTAGCTGTCAAATACTACCTCTGTTTTCTACTTAGCTTTCTCACTTTCCCTCTCTGTCTCTCTGTCTTGTTTGGAATTTTTAAACTGTCTTTTCCCATTTTTTCTAGTAATCCATTCTCACTGCATTTTATTAAAGTATCTCTTGGGGGCCCTGAGCTCAGCAAAGTAAAAACTTGTACAAAATTTCAGTAGTTAACATTAATTTTTCTGTTTAAATACGCTCTACTTGTATCTGGGGTGTTAGCCGAATGCAAATCTAAGTAAAGATGCCAGGCACGTCTCCCAAAACTCCTTCCTCGTAGTTTGCCTGAGGCACTTAGGATACCACAGCCTTCCAACGCCCAGAAAAAGGAAGCGAAGACTCCGGGCGAGAAGCGTGAGGTCATCAGAGAGCGACGCACACGCCTCGGGCAGAGCCGGCGCTTCGCTTGCGTCATCATCACGCGACCACCTTCAGGAGACAAGCGCTCACGGACCCAAGGTAAAGTTCAAAGCTTGCGTTTAAGTGTTTGCTTGCGCTCCTACAAAGGTCCGCTTCTCTTGACACTGGGTTCCCCTTTCATCCTCCCGCTGGACGGGGAGATGCGGCGTTGCCTCAGCTGAGCTTGGGGCAGCATCGTTGCAGGACCCTCTCTTCCATCTTTCTCGTGGCTGCTTGCCTGCTTTAGTACTTACTTCTCTATCTTGGTCCGGGTTATGTATGTATGTATTTATTTTTCCACACCTTTTTCTTCGCTTCTTAGCTCCGCCTCTCATGTATTGGAAAGAGGAGAAGGAAGAACACATGACTTCACAGTTACTTTTCAGCTGCCTTCAAATCTTGTTGAGGAAGGAAGCCTAGAGTGGAGGGTGTAGAGGAGTAAATCTCGTGTATTATCCCCATTTACATGCTCGAACGTGATCACAGACTGCCTCCTGCTGCAGGATTAGCGCTTCTGAGAGTGTGGGCTAATTGAAAAATGGAGTGGGCATTCTGGCACAACATCTGCAAATGGCTCTGTAGTTCCAAAAAACAATTATATGTTAGATTTTTCCCTCTGATTTGTTTATAACGGTGTGTAACTCTAGTTGGTATAGAGATGGAAACAGCCCAGAATAGACATGATCATACTGTTTTGGATCTTCCTACCATCCATAAGTCCAAACTGTAGTCTGATACTGAGTCTCTAAGATTTGGTCTCAGTTAATAGTCGCTGGGTACATAATGTGTGGCAAGACATGCTAGTGATGTGGAGATATAAATGTGAAGCAACATGAATCTTGCATTAAAGGAATAGCCCAGTGGGTAACCAGTACAAAGTTCTGAGCAGAGGAGTGACATCATCTGACATAGGTTTTAAAATCAGATCACTCTGCTTTGTTAAGAATACCTTGTTAGGGGGACCAGCAGTTGGCACAATGGCTATGTCGCTGGACTCCCACGTAGTGGACCGCGGTTCAAGTCCTGGACCCGGTGGCTTAAAGTCACGCTGAGTGCTTGTGCGTGCGTACCCAAGATCCTGAGAGGAGAATGGAGGAGAAGGGATTGCGGCGTGGCCATCCCCCCAGAGGGGTGATTTCTCGCTTTCTGTCTCTCTGTCTCTCTCTCTGTCTGGTGAGCACACGCGCCCTATAGCAAAAACCTCTCAAAAAAAAAAAAAAAAAGAAGAAAAGAATACCTTGTTAGAAGGTAGGTGAAAACAGTAGACTAATCAGGGAGGTGGTGTAGTAACTCAGGTGAGATAATCACATCTTAGCTAGATGGAAAGAAGTGAAGGTGGTTGAGTGGCAGTTCAATTTTGGATGTATAAAGGAACTTAAAAAGTGTATGGAAAAATGGAGTTAAATTACAAGATTGTTTTGATGCAAAAACCTTTGAAATAAGTGCATAGATTTTTATATCTTTTTAAATTTTATTTATTCATGATAGCATCCATATACATATGAGATAGAGAGAGAAAGGGAGAGAGAAACACCCTTGACAGGATCTTGTCATACCACTGCCCCTTTTCCTCAGCCCTCTACCTCTTCAGGATCCTGGACATAAGCACATGCACCTGGCATGTTTTCAGACCAACTCAGAAATCTGAACCCGTGGTTGGCCGTGCGGCTTCCAGCATTGCAGTTTACTTTGCTACTGAATGTATAACATTGGTGTAACCTAGTACCTGATCCATGTTCAAAATTCTCTCTTTCAAAAATATCTTTTTTTTTTACATTTGGTTTATTTAAGTCAAACTCTAAACAAGGCCTATACCTCCCATTTGGTTGCTAGGTCTCCTGAATGTTCTTAATCTCCTCTTCCTGTACCTCTCCTCCATTTTCTTTATTTTTTCCTCCTGCCACAGGAAATTGTACTATAAAGTTTTCCTTATTCCAATTTGTCTCTTTGCTTCTTTGTGGTGGTAACTTGTTTTTCTATATTCCATATTTCCTGTAAAATGAAAGTTAGCTCCGATGGCTCAGTTAGATTCAGACTTAATTTTTTGAAGAGCTGGAAATGCTTTATGATGGTGCAGTGTCACATTGCCTCACATAAGAAATTCATAGTATGTGTTTGTCCTACTTTTAGTTAAGTGAGGATTGAAAAGTGGGTTCAGGGAATGACAGTCTTATTCCTCCATTGTAAACTCTATCATCCTTTTATCTGTCAGTGATCATTGCCTGTATCTATTGAGTCTTGGGAAAATCATGACACCTTTTTGCATAGAAAACTAGAAGAATAAGTTATGACTCTTCTGACCACCTAATATAGTTTTATTTGGGATTACTAAATTATAATTAAAAAGAAAGGAATTATTAATATAATTTAATTTTACCATTATTTTAAAATTTGCTTCAGAGCATATGCACTCCCCAGAGAGAGCAGAAAAAGAAAGGGAAAGTGACAAAGCCAGCTGTCAGATCTGGGACTCAAACTATGATTGGCCATATGGGAGTCCTGCGCCTTGACCACCAGGCTACATGCTGATCCCTAAAATGGCAATTTTTTGTTGTTGTTGTTGTTGTTTAAAGTAATTTCTTCCACGTTAGTTAATGGAATACAAATTTTAGTTTGGTAACTTGGGAACCTGAAAATAGGAATAACAAGACTTTTGGGAGAAAATGCTGTCAGAAGAACAACCTGTGATGCCAAGAATACATCTCTCTTTGCTGTGGTGCTAGAGGCTTAAAGTAGTATGAAGGGTTTTTTGATGTATCAACCTGACTAGGCTGCAGGCCCCAGATATTCAGTCAAACATGAGTTTAGATGTTGCTGCGAAGATATTTGTAGATGTTATTAATAACCAGTTGACTTTAAGAATCATCCTAGATAATGTAGGTGGCCTAATTTAGTCAGTTGAATGGCTTTAGAATCAGGGCTGAGGCTTCTCTGACAGAAAAGAAGAAATTCCACCTGTGGCAACAACTTCAGTTAATAGCCAAGAGTTCCCGTAGGCCCTTCTTTGATGGCCTGCCCTGGTAAACTAGTGTCTGCAATAACTGTCTTGATGTATGGCTCCTTCTGGATCTGCTTTTCTGATTGAACCCTGACTGGTACAAGGAACAACTCCCACAGCTTTCCTGTTCTCTAACAAAACAGTGTGGGGTGTGGTGGTAAGGGTCAGAGACCTCTTTTGTGTAGGATGACCATATATTGGGTTGTTGGAAAAGTCATGACGCATATATGCATAGAAAAAAAGGAAAAAATACATCTGACTTTTCTGACAATAGTTTTTTGTTGTTGTTGTTGTTTAGTACTTCTGAGAGAGAAAGGAGGAGCCGACAGCGCAGGAATAAACTAGAACTGTCTTGGGCAAATTGGGGCATGTAGTCATCTTGTGTGTAAGGCATTGGGGACATAACATCATATGACACAACCCTTTTAAGGAGCTTTTAGTCAAAGAGGATGTCAAATAAATAAACAGACTTTATACAACATTGTTTTCAGTTGTGCTTATCCAGACAGAAAGGGAGGATGGCGTGCAAAGCAATCTTCACTGGCTGAAGTAAAATCTGATCTTACCTCCAAAGATAAGTAGGTCTTGAACCAAATGGAACTGGAAGGGATCTCAGGCATAGAGAGCTACATGTAGGAAAGTTTAGAGTGAGAGAGACCATGGCACACTGGGAAAACTGCCATCGTGGATACAGTTGTAGAGCTGACCAGAAGAGGAACCATGAAAGGTGAGGTTAGACAAGGACCATGTTGCAGTAGGCCTTACATCTGTGCTGAGGGATTTGGATGTTATATTCTAGGTGTTGGTCAGTTATTTCAGGATTTAAAGCAGAGAGGTACCATGACCAGACTTTTTGCAGAGAAATCACAGTTCGTAGCATCCTGAAACTGAGAGTGGAGATAGATTAGCAGTAGGAATACTACGCAAAGACTGTAGAATAATCTGGTCAGTGAGCATGAAGGAAAGCTTGTGGAAAGAGATTAAGAAGCCATTCTGACAGTTCTGATTGGACTGGAGGCCTGTCTCTGGCTGGACTGACCACCCTCAAGTAGAGAATCCGGGGAGGAGGAGGCTGATGACTTCAGTTCTGATCGCGATGCTCTGCATGCTCCCTCTTCTATTGGTATTTTGGCTTCCATAACCAGTGAAAAGAGGGATGGACGAGTGGCAGTAACAACCTGTAGGGCACTGGGCATTGTGCTCTCGCTTTCTTAGTCTCAGCCAGATCTTCCTAAGGGGCGAAGAGAAATACATTTTCTCCTGCCCCTCTGTCTGTCTGCAGACACCTCTGCATCTCTGGAGTAAGTGTTGTAGAAGGAGTAGGTGGAGGGGTGAGGAGCAAAGGTGGGTGAATTCTTTTCTCTCTCATAGAAATTTTACCATGTATAATCTTAGGCAAATTATTCAACCTCCCTGTGACCCTGTTTTTTCATCTGAGAGGATTAGATGAGTTAATGTGGGTGGAGGACTTAGAATCATGTCTGCACATAGTGTTTGCTATTGCTGCTGTTAACAGAGTCGCCACTTGATCTTGGGGTCAGAGCAGTAAAGGGCACAGAGGACCGTTTCTGTACTTTTCCTGTTGAAGGAACAAATATTCAGCAACTGACTATATAAGATGTTAATAGAAATCCTTTAAATTGGGCGGGAGGATTTCTCATAATAGAAGAACCTTTATATTTTAGTTCACCTTGCCTTTATTTTTTAGTTAGGGTAAAGGTGAGTGGCTCAGCTCAGATTTAATGAAGGCAATTCTCCGTACACTGCCCTGCTTTCAATGTTCATCCTAACCCACTCTAACAATAAATAATAGATTGTTTATTGGGACTTATGGACAGGGGACAATTGCAGGAAAAATTCCCACTGTGTTCTAGAGGAGGGAAATATTTTCTAATAGGACAATTGAATTAAAGCATTCCCATTTAAAAAGAAAGAATTTTGTGTGTTTTTAAAAAATACTTATAGTATTTTTAAAGCCAAAATACTTATTAAAATGTCCTTATTTAAATTTGATTGCTTATTTTTTATTACAAATTTAATATGTGCTTTATGAAATAAAATT